TTGGTTTTAAAACCAAAACACAGCCCAGAAATGTTTTCACTTAATGAAAAACTGGGTTTTCGGTAAACAAACATTTTTCATAACCCCATCATTAATGTTTATAACAAAATTTTGAAAAAATAAATTGCAAAGTTGAAAAAAAAAACCAACTTTCACTTTTTCCATTTCCCAGAGAAGCCCACTTTTCCATTAAAAAAAACTTTGTTCAAAAAATTTTCTACCAGTTCAAATGTTTTCCTTTATTGTTCCCTGTTATTTATGACATTTCTATTTTATTTTCCTTTAGGACGTTATTTTATCTGCTACACATCTATTAAACCCCAGGCTGATCCCAACTCCCGGCACAAGATCCAAATCATCTGAGCTAACTGCATCAAATCTGATCTGCCACCATTTATTCAGACATGGTCACGCTCCTGTCAAAACAGAAGGTTTCACAGCGCCCTACTCGGATCCGGCTCCCTTTAAAGTCCATGGAAACTCCCATGGACGTCACTGGTGCAAGAGGAAGCTCTCAGTGAGGGCAGGTTTCTGGGCTACCAGTAACCAAATAGCTTTCAGTTTTACCTGTTATGCCCCCGATTTGTATCTGAGCTGGGAAAGGCAATGGATTGGAGCTACAGTCCCTCTCCTCTCACATGGGGCTGGGGGGTGACCCTGACAAACTCTCACTCTGCCCCCACCAGAACAGACCAGAGTGGGGGACAGTGATCTCGGGCGGGGGGCGGAGAATAGGCCAATGAGCAGAGGGAATGGGAGGGTGACTGAAGTGACAGAGAAAAGCGGCTGCTCATTCCTCAGAGTCAGAGCCAGCCTCAGACTTTCCCCATTGCAGGATTGAGAATATAACCCCCCAACCGCCCCCCACCCAGCTCCCCCCCCCAGAGAGGCTCCCGCTGCCCCACTCACTGGGCCCAGATGCCAGTGCCTGCGCTGCTGCCGGCCGAGAGAGCTGGTGGGGGCAGCCACCTGGGGACACTGCACCCTGTCACCCGGCCCAGCCGCCTGCTGGGGGGCCCTGCGCTGGGGAGCGAGCCCGGCTCCACACACGCAGCCCCGGCTCTGCGTCAGCCCCTTTGGGGTCCGATCAGAAGTGCCTGGCTGTCCAGATTCGTTCTGCCGTCTGCCTATTGACCACCCCTGCCCTAAAACGTCCTACTCCAGAACGCCCAGGTGGGCTACAGGCAGCGTGATCCCAATGGGGATCCACGTTCTCCAGGACCCGAGCTCATCCTTTGCCCCAGGGCCGAATGTGCTGCAGGTGCAACGAGGGTTATATTAGCACCTCCCATGGTTCGAGTGACAGCTGTCCTCTGGCCGAGGCTCGGGACAGAGCGGGTGGGGTCACCTTGGGAGAGAGGGAGCACACAGCCACAACACAGAGCCAGAGAACGAAGCCTGGGGAGGGGGGAGAGCAGGGGAAAAATATCAGGAGGCTCCTGGCCTACCATCACAGCAAAATAAAACCCCACCTGATGAGCTAGAGCTCCATCCCCACTGCAGGGGCCTAGGTGGGGCAGCGACCAGTGCTCTGTCAATGCCTAGAAGTAGAACATAAGCCAGGCTCAAACCTGCACTCCTATGATGGGAGTTTGCAAGTATCAGTTAAGGTTGCAAGACCTCCCCAAGCAAGAAGCCCCCTACCTCTGGATCTCACTCCCAGGTGGCTTCCTACGGGTCTCCACGCTTGAGCTCAGCTCCTTCCCCCACACCTTACAAAGCCACCAGTGGCTTTCCACCCAGAGAGGTGAGAGCTGGCCCATAACGGGGGTTCGTTCTGGAGTGCAGCCACCACTCAGGCTGGGAAAAATCCACCGGGGAACAAAAATACAGGAGATTCAAAATCATCTCCACGTGCTCAGGAGAATCTGTCCGGAGCTGCAGCCTGTGCGGCACATTTCACTGACCAGAAGCTATCCAGGGTGCTCAGCCCTGACACAGCAGTTACTCCCCTCCGTGGAGTGTGAGCTTCTTTTTGTAACTGGGATCAGTTAATTGCCCTCTTTCCCCCCCTCGTTTTAAAAAAAACAGCAGTGAAATGCAAATAAGCAGCCCCTTGTTAATGCAATAGTAAGGAAGTGGTTACAATTGAAAGGGACGGATCCCACAGCATTTAGGCCCCAACCAGACCCAGGAACCCACGCAGAGCTCCAGCGACCTCAGTCAGACTCACAAGGCTCTGCAATGCTGACCCCAGTGCCGGCTCAGCGCCTCAGCCCAGGAACCGGCCACCTGCTTTCTGTGAAGTGCCTGGCTCGCCTGTGTGTGCTACAGAGGAGAGAATGAACTGAGCCCCGGGGTTATTAGCCGCTGGGCAAGTGTCCGGGTGTAGCCTGCTGTCTGACCGAGGGGCAGGAGCGCAGGGCTATTGGGAGTCGCCCCCGCACTGACAGGCGGCTCCCGCGGGGTCAGGGCTGGCTCTTGGCAGCGCCGCAGCAACGCGGTACAGTCACACCCCGGGATGGGCACAGGCCCCGCCAAGCCCTTAGAGCCGCGGGACACCTCACGCCCCAGGACAGGACACCGCAGGAGCCTGCCCCAGTGGCTGCAGCGTCCCGGGATCGGGACCCCGGCTGGGCTCTGCGGGACGCGGCTGCGGTGACCTCCTGGCTGAGGGACGCTGCACCAAGGGAGCGGTCGCTGCCAGGCACTGCTTGCCCATGCAGGGGTGTGCGCTGGGGGGCGGGAGGGCACGCTATCGGGCAACATGCCTCAGGGGACCCCTGGGGGCGGGGGGGGCTGACTACGGCCACAGCCAAAGGGGATTCGGGGCGGGGGGGAGGGGGG